CGTTTTAGAATATAAAATTCAACCTCGCAAGATTTAAAAACTTTAACGAAGACTCTGATTATCCGTCAACAAATAGCACCGTATTGATAGTAATGATACACTAATTGATAAAAACTGTTCTGTTGCGAATTATGGAAGATTCACTTTACTGTACCCCTAAATACAAAGACTAGAATGTTTAAATCTTTAAATAGATCGAGTATAAAACGCCATTAACCAACTTATACCCCCTGTTCAATCATGGATACATCAACTTCACTTTTTAAATTCAATTGTCAAATTATCATTACCAATTTATTACATATTCACTACGCAATTTTGTATTGTGAATCCTAATGTTACGTAGTTCACTTCCCAACTATTCGCCAATTCTTTGTAGCAGGTTTCCTTTCATCCGTGCGGCGTTTTCTTCACATTCTCCAGCATATCTGCGGGAAAACTCGTCGCACTTCTTGCGAATTGGGAGTCTACACTCTCGTAACTTCAAATGCCCATGTACTTAAAGGTATGTATATAGCAATTTCTACAAATTTCTGTGGGAACCATCGTTTTTTCGTTTAAATAATAGTAATTTTACTGGGATATGTAAAATTTGGATCATGTAGACAATAAAACGTCTGCAAGTGTTACATAACACGTTTACCAAATGGACATTTTCTTAAAATGTTAAGAAGAGATACATTAATTTTATTCAGTTTACGTACTTTCTTAATAATTTTCGATAAAAAATATGAAAAGGGAAGAGGAATATTTTGTTTATATAACATTTCAATTAGGGACACTTTTAACCACCTCTTGACACCAATTTATCATTATTTGTTAAACACTCACACTCTTTGTCATTTGATAAATTAAGTTTTGTAGAACAGTCACCTCTTTTAATGTTCATTTTGTTCTCTAATGAGCATTTTCAACGCGGTACATTCACATGGTATGAGGAGAAAGTTGAAACTAATAACTAAGAATAGGAGTTGGTAACTTAACTTTTCTATTTGCTTTAGTCTCACCATTATTTAGCAAATTAGTGGTCGAGGTTTAAAAACAAATAGAAAATTTAGTTGTGCGAGCCATGGCGAAGGAATTCAGTATTAGAAACTTAATTTCATTAACTTCAGATCTTTTTATTCTCTTCTCCCCTTTTCTCTGTTACCTTGTTTCAATGTGTACAATGTTCATACCAGAGGACGTGTGTATGTTTGCCGAAGTAAATAAACAAGAAAAAAAACAATGATTTACAAAATTGACTAACGAATAATCCTTTACTTACACTTTACATATTTTACTCTTGATGTGAAAAATACAAGATACCCTAAATTTGAGAATAAACATATTTAATAATAAGTGAAACAAATACAATTCTGCCTCTCTGATACTGATGTCAAATTATAGGACACTTTCTTTGTAATCAACTATAGAGCCTACCGGCCATTAATTTCACTAAAGTAAACTAAGCAAATCCTGCAGAAGATTCGTTGCTGACCCCCTTTCTGAAATATGCCCGCCCTGTTGCACACGCTGGGCTTCGAACTGCGCGCCGCGGTTCGTGTCCGCCGCTCCCCCTACTTGGTATGCGCTGCTGCTGCCAGGTGCGGCCACCACGGCGACTGCTGGAGAGCGCCGCCAGCTGCCTCAACACCCACGCATGTGAGTATCCAGCCCCCCCCCTCCCCGAACTCAGGCAAGGTGGCCTCGGACGGAAAAATCCAGCCATTGAGTCGCAGGCCACTCAGGTGCGTATCTGGCTGTCCGGTTCGACGTCGCGCGCTTTGCTACCACAGCTTCGAACGCGCTCACCGACAGCCCAGATCACGCAATCCAAGCGCATTGGGCTTTTGGGAAGCGGTATGCCGAAAAAGAAACGGGAAAGCAGGGAAAGGGGGCCGGAAAAGCGATTTGACGATGAACGAGTACCGATTGTAATCGTCAAACTAACTTCGTTGTTTTATACGTGTTTTGCACCTTATTGTCATGAGAGATGGTTTCCTACTACAATTCAATATAGCGACGATCTACCAAGCGCTTGCGGATTTCACTCTCAAGGTATATCCTCCAGCGAGCGCCCCAACCACCGACAGACCGAGCATCATAACTCCAGACTGTCACCTCCATGTAATGGCAGTGCAATGTGTTACGTGTGGAGAGTAAAATAGTTAACGATGGGAAACGAAAGATTGCGCCAGGTCCATTGCTTTTCGCACAGATTCTGCTCACGGCATCATCGCTAGTGCTTATTGAGAAAGTAGCAAAACCACCGATCAGAGCAAGGTGGCCGCTAAAATCTTTTACAAACAATGGCTGAAAGCGCTCAGATATGTACCGAATGATTTAAAATCAGCCATCGATAGGACTCGAATTCTAGACCTTCTAATCAAAAAATTTCAGAATCACTAATTCAGAGAGTGAAATGATCATTATTAAATCATAATAAGTAGAAAGCCTGAGCTTCATCGAAGCTAACTCGATCATCCAAAATAAACACTCATTCATTGGTGGAATTTTACCTCCTTCAAGACGAACATTCAGAAGCGCATCTTGGAAATTCAAATGCTAATACATTATAGTAAATCAGTACTGGTACGTTCGAAACAACTTGTTCAGAAAAATTCAAACGTTAAGTTTCGACCGTTCGTTGGTATTTACGAGTAAATTCAATCATTAAATAATCTTAAAATTTAAAATGAAAGCTGAAGTATCATTTTTATTTATGCAAGGACTTATAATTATAGTATTATTTCACATTTCTTGTGACGTGATATTAGGAACCACAACAAAAGTTCGAAAATCATCGCAAAAATCATCTGTCGCAGCTATGTCCGTTTTATATTCAAAGCACGCCCTTCTTAACAGCTTTAGAAAACTATTACTAATGTGGACTCTCGAGTAACAGGGGGAACAAATTAATTGCTATTTCAAACGAAGATTCGCACAGCAAAACGCCCGAAGAGTCTGCGGCGCGGTGACTTTTTAAACTAATCCGCGCTTGAACAATGAGAGATAGAAAGTACTTCTCCATCTCCATCCAATAGTTTTGCGTTATGACGCTCGAAAATGCTTATTGTAGAGAAGAAAAAAAGACTATTTCCCTTCCACTCAAGTTCTTATTTTATTCTAATGGATTAAACAAACGGATGGAATGTCAAGTGCTGCCTTATCTCGCATGTGATCTCACAGATGCCGGCTTTTATACCGCAAAAGGTACCCCAATAAACGCGACCAATTATAATGAACACCAAGGAGGACATCAAAAAAAAGCAGTTATAAATGGCAGGGGATACAAAATAGGGACAATATTCATAGGCAAATAAAAAAAACGAGACAAATAACAAGACAAGAGATGAGTGTGAGTAGTCGTGTGTAGATAATTGTATCCATCCCAAGAATTAAAACGTTTTAAGCAGTGAATTAAACACATGGGAAATGGTAATAATCGCATGGAACAATTCTCTGTTTAAAAATACTTTTTTGGAAATATATTCTTACTAAATGTATACAATGAATGCCAAAGTATGCTAATCGATTACTTTTACAAACTATTTTCGCTTTAATTCTATTATCATCACCTATATATTTCAATAGTAACTTTTGAGAGATCTCACATGCAACTCGATCCTTTATAAATTGAAATTCTCTTAAAGAAAGATTTAATTTATGAAGACGTTGACCGAAATATTCACTTTTATTTTACAAAATGTGAAGATTTGTGTTTAAAAACAACGCATCTAAATACTTCATGTAAAATGCATCACCACATCATTCAGTCAGCCTTAATTTTTTTAAATAACTCTTACCACGAAAGCGTTCTACCTTTAAATAGACTCTCTAAGAAACGTTCCTCACCATAATCTATAGGATATCTTGGACATTCTATTAAATTCTTGCTGATTCGGCAGTTATTCGTACTACCACTGGTCATCTAGATTTCAATTCTTTGCTGATGGTGAGACCACTTTAACTTGAGAAGCTTATATTCCTCTATCTATCATACGCTTATGTTTTCTATGTTCACCGTTGGTTGCGCAGAACTGACAAGGTTATATTTGCAGAATTTATAATTCAAATTAACTTTCAGCCAAAACAATAATTAAAGTACTAATTAGTATTGCTAAACACCGATGAAGATTGTCTTCTTATGCGTTAGTGAGTGACCATTTTCTAATATTTATGACTATCAAGAAAACCAATAAGCTGAACGGTCAACAACTATAAAATGTTGTAAGAAGTAGTGAATGCTTCGAAAGAACACTCATAATACTGAAATAAACCATATTATTACAACTGTTTCAACTCAATTGCTTTACTTTTTATTTTTTTTTAATGCGTAATACAAATTTCAATTTATTACATTTCTAACGCAAAAACACAGTTTCATTGACAACTTTTCACTTCTTAATAAATAGCTAGGGATTAACTGCTAAAGTTCTCGCACGTGAACGCTTAGTTCATGTTTATTGCATTCTTCAATACACCATTTATTAAGGATCCCATATTTTCGTGAACCACACCCCGTGAAAAAACCAATGAGATTGATTCTAATCGCATCGAGTTGCGAATAATTCCGTTCTTCCCCGCCTACCGTAATTTCGCGCTCGCGGGCGGGCGGCTGCGGAGCGCAGTCCGAGGGTTGACGCTTACGAGAGCAGCGCAGTTGCGCGGCGCGTTGCGCAAGCCGGAAGCGGGCCGCAGTGCGCCTGGTGGGTT